TTGGCCAACCATTTATGCAATTTTATTTATGCATTTTCTAAAATTAATAATCGATACTTGGTGTCAAGAATCGATGCAGTAGATCACGAAAATTAGAATCACGATGCATCATCATGACGATTATTTTGCACACCCCTAGTGTGAATCCTGCTTAATATGAAGCGGCGTTGTTTGTTTTTTTTGTATATATAGTATGAAACTATCCAGAAATGACCCGTATAAACCTACTCACAACATTTTTTGTACTTTTTCAGACTGGAAGCAAAATTTAATTTTATGTTGCTTCTTTTAAGATTTGATGTAACATACAGTACCTGCCTTTTTGTTGATTTGTTGATACAGCAGCTCTATCTACAGCATATTTACATGCATGAAATGTCCCTTTCGTGTTGCCTTAACTGCCGTATGTCAAGTTACTGAGGAAAAAAATGGGGTAAATGTGTTTTCAGAGTAAACAATACATGGATGTATTGTTTGGGTGCCTTGACCCATTTATTTCTACTGTGTAGTTCTGCTCACTTTAGTACAGCTCAGTCCATAGATCTCTGATTGGTGAGTTTTTCTTTCTATCGTTTCTTCTTGTGCAAATGCTGCAAAGCTTCCTCTCTGACAGTCAATCTCACTCATCTACTACTCAGCACCTGTGTCTTACCTTAATATCTTTCCTCTAATAATGCCCCTCTAGAAGTAGTGTTATCATTCTTCTATTTCCTATTAAGTGAGATCACATTGTACGATGTATTTCTAATATGAACTGTTTCACATGAAACACTTACTGTACATACTATTCTCACCAAACTGTGATAACTGTGATTAAATTCAGTGTAAACAAATGCCATATGTTGCCACCCCTCAAAAATTCCTGCCCCCCTCTCGCCACCCCATAAATATTTTTCTAGATCCGCCCCTGCTCATCACTAGTCATCTCTCACACACCGGGAGATCATGATTTTAACACGTAATGCGCCGGTTTCTCATAGGATAGGCTGTTTTCCTTCAATGCAAGAGGAACCAAAACTGAAAGTTCTTTAGAACCGCTTAAAAGTGATGAAAAAGGTGATTTAACAGTTATTTTAAAAAAGTTCTGCTCAGAAGATCCGTCTAGAACAAGATAGAAAACCAAATCAAGTCATTAAGTTCTGAATAAACTGGCCTTTAGATAATAATTCCACATTTATGTCAGATCTGGAAACTAAAATATGACTTTAAAACCATATATATGAAATAAAAAGATGACGTCTCTAACTGGAGTCTAAAATATTTTAGAATATTCTTTAAATAATTGAAACATTTTCTATCTGTAATTTTATAAGAATTCCTTTTTATTATTTGTTTGTTTTTATTAACATATTTATTAATCTGTATCTAATATATGTAAATACTTTATCTGTGATTTTCATGCAGTGAATCTTTATAATTCAATTATATGTAAATATTCAAATTTCTTTTTATTATTAAATCTGTAACATATCATGAATTTCCCTTCGGGGATTAATAAAGTATAACTGAAGTTAATATAAATACAATTTTCAATTTTTTTATATTTTAAAATCTTAACATCGTCACTTTTAATCTGTAGGCCTAATTCTGATTTTTTTTTTCCAATAATTTTTAAATCTTTTTGAAATGATTAACAAATTACTGATCTTTTTTTCAGTAATTTACAAACTACTTTAAAAAATCGTTTATTTTTTATCATTGAAAAAGATTTACAAATTAATGTTTTTTTCATTATTTATCTTTTT